GGTCAAAAGCCACATGTTTCCGGTGTGTCCGAAACATATTTTCATTATTATTTTTAGAAATGTAGTCGTACTATTATTCTAAGTTTTGATTTTTGTCAGTATTTTTGATATTGTATTTGTTTTTTGAGATCAAAATGTGAAAAAATATATATTTATGATGTAAACAATTTTGACCTCGTGATTGTGAATCCAAGATGGCGTCACCCACGTAAGATCCAGCGAGCGTGAACTTCCCACTCGGATCGCATATCATGCTCAGATTCGGATGAATTAAGTAAAGCATAATTGAAAATAATATATTTATCAAGAAATCGGGAATTCTAATCAAGAAACGTGTGGAAATTGGAGTGACACTTGTGTTATTTCTTGGAAGAAAAGCCTCAATATTACGTGGTATAACAATGGCGAAAATTCGTAATTCAGACCTCTGTTGTCTCGAATTGTTCACAATTGTGTTGAACTGACAACATCGATGATTACAAAAAATACATAAAGATGGATAATTTCAGCCAGAAAAACTATTATTGCTCGAACATAGTAGCGTAAGTATCATAACAGTTGTTGTACTTAACCGGAAAACAACAGAAACGGAAGACAAGCAATAAAAATAATCAACCCAATGTTTAATTTACCTGGACTGAACAGGGTTTTATAAAGTTGCTGATTTCTGGGCCAAGCAAAAAAACAGAAAACTCAGTATTTCTGCAGAACATTTGCAATACTAAACATGCAGCGCAATAATTGTATACAGATTGTACATAAAATAAATAGAAAAAAGGAAAAAAAAACTGGTTTTGTTTTATTTCCCCATATGACAAACAATGTTAATTTATGCTAATTATTATGCAAATTAGCTGCGACTCTGAAAAATTTCTGGGGAGAACACTGAACAGTAGTAACTTATTTTGACCAGCTTGGCAAATAGTCCCGGCACTTAGAATGAAAAGCATGACGGATTCAAACGGCTGAGCTTGGAATGTTGGCAATCACCAACGTAAAATGGCCGGGACAGCTGGTGGGGAATATTCAAGTCCACATGATTTCACCGTCTGAGCTGCAATTCTATGTGTATGCAAATTGTAACCAATCCCTGTTCGAAAAAATAATATATTTATTTACATAACAATAAATATTCAAATTGTGGGGAGATGTGGTCTTGTGGACATCTGGTCGTTCAGTATAAATATGGCTGAAGAAAGTGAGATGTAGCCCAGACTCGCAGTATGCTTACTTTCCGACATGTACATTAATATGCCGCCCTATACAGATAGGAAGTGTTTTATGAAGGCTAGAAGGAAACTGAAGAAAACGCGTAAATCGTGCAGTGGCATGGGGAGTGATAAGTTTGACATTGACACGACAGATTTTTCACCAGCAAAGGTGACATGGTCGGTAGTTTTAGCAGACGAAATCATAAAAACATGCCACCGCAATTAATTCCCGAGGGGGGAAAAGCAAGAAGCTGAAGTTGAAAATTGGTGAAATGAAAGCAGAAACTAAACTAGACTAGACTAGACGACACTATCAATATTACTGCATACCAAGATGACAACGCACATATATTAATTTTAAATACGGTCTACCCCTGCTGGCTACTTCGACAGAAGCAGTAGAGGACGTGAGACACGTGCCTGTATCGTTACAATGTTACAGACAACACATGGGTGGCGTGGATCGGTCTAACCAAAGGCGAAAATACTATCACACGGGCAGAAAAAACAAGCGTTCGTGGATCTACATGGCCTGTTACCTCATAGATGTTGCATTGGTCAATTCTTATGAATGTTTCAAGGCATTGAATCGCATGACTAAAGTAATGCACAAATTCTTCAATATCCGCACAGGTAAACAACTGATTGGTGGACACTCGAGTAGAATTCAAAAGTCCATAAGAGCAGTTGGCTCTCTTCCAAGTAACACGTCATTTATTCATAGTGAAAACATGGATTCGCACGAAATATGCAGACTACCCGGGTGTCAAAAATCGTGTAAGCAGTGCAGCAAGAACGGGAGAAAAACAGTGAGTGGCCGATTATCGGAAACATCAAAAGGATGCCCAATTTGTAAAGTTCACCTTCACGCGGGCGAATGTTTCTGCTTTTCATCACAACAAGGCACTGAGGGGAAAACGCACCGTGGGAACACAAACACGAAATACGGAAGTGCAGCCCGCCGGGGTGGACGACTAAGAAAGGCGTACAACAAATAAATTTGGGACTTATTACAGCGTCACGAACTGTACAATAGTTTGAGTTGGTGAAAATACGTTATCGTTAATGTAGTTTCATGCACCATCGGTATTTATACGTTTTAATGTCAGAATAGTTCATCGGGTCTAGTCGGTGGAAATACGTTTCTGCGTGAGTATATATACACGCCAAGTCCCTGCAGTTACGTTCTCGCTAGTTCGTTTTATTTCAAGTCGTTAAATATACGTTGAAATATTTAGTTAGTTAATCGGGTCATGTCGGTAACCCGATCAAGTCATTGCAGTTACGTTCTCGTTTGTTTCAGTCTCAGTTTGAGTCGTTCAATTTACGTTGTAAGTGTGGGCTTATTCGTACGGTCAAGTCGGTTAATTTACGTTAGAGCTTGAATATAACATCAGTCAAGTCATGGAAAGTATGTTGTAATAAGTTACACATGCAGTTCAAGTCGTTGAATATACGTTGCAATTTGAAATGTACGCTGACAGGTGGCTGACTATGGCCTATTTTAGCAAAAATGTCTGGCAGGATAGCATGCACAGATGCTGGATACTGGAGTGCATTGAATCATGACCGTTTTTCACCGACTTAACCTGATAGCATGAAACTCCCCTGACCGGAAATGGGTTAATGATGAAACACCAAGCCGTGAGCGCCACCGCAGAGTACCTCTTGCCAAATATGCAAATAGTTACGACAGATCATCAAGGGCATGTTGGATAGTGGTGTGATACGCGATGACAGCCCATGGGCTGCACCAGTGGTCATGGTCACAAAGCGTGATGGAACCACAAGGCTGTGTATTGATTACAGAAGATTGAATGCCAAGACTGTCTGTGATGTTTATGCCATTCCTCGCATCAAAGAAAGTCTGGAGGCCTTGAAAGATGCAGAGTGGTTTAGCACAATTGACCTCAAGAGTGGCTATTGGCAAGTGGCCATGAGTGAACAGGATGTTTCGAAGACAGCATTTGTAATGCCTGTCGGCCATTTTGAGTGTCTCCGTCTTCCAATGGGGCTATGCAACAGTGCAAGCTCATTTCAAAGAGCCGTGGAGAAGTACCAGGGCGAATTAGTCAATCAGTCATGCATTGTTTAACAGGATGATGTGATTATGTACTCCAAGACATTCAGCAACCATATCAGACATCTGGGTGAGGTGTTGAGGCGACTAAAGAGTGCAGACTGGAAGGTTAAAACCAAGAAGTGTGAATTTTTCCGCCAGAAAGTTCACTTTTTGGGTCATATCGTGTCAAAGGAAGGAGTTTGCACAGACCCAGTGAAGACAGAGGCGCTGCGTAACTGGCCCATACCTCATAATGGGAAGGCGATGAAGACATTCCTGGGGATGGCAAGCTATTATCGTCGTTATGTGGAAGGGTTCTCGAAGATTGCCAAACCACTGAATGATCTTACCGTGGGATTGTATCAACATGCTCATGGCAAGAGAAAGAGAAAACGACAGAACCCTCCTGAGTTTGCATGGACACAGAAGTGCCAACATGCTTTTGACTTACTAATTGAGAAGCTGACCAACCCGGATTATGACCTTGAGTTTGAATTGCATACTGATGCAAGCCTTATTGGACTTGTGGCTGCCCTTCAGCAAGTAGAGGCTTGTCCAAGAGCGAGAGGAATTATCCTGCCATCAAGCTTGAGTTCCTCGCATTGAAGTGGGCAATTGTTGACAAGTTCGGAGATATGCTACTGGGCAGAAAGTTTAAGGTGGTTACTGACTGCAACCCATTACGGTATGTGATCAGCACACCAAAATTGGATGCAACAGGACATTGATGGCTATCAAAGCTAGCTGACTATGTCTTCAGTATAGAGTATAGGCCAGGAAAGCAAAACGGGGATGCAGTTGCACTTTCTCGTAAGCCTATCCAGGGATACAGTACAAATAGTGGTGGTTCACCTCAATGGTTGAAATGGTTGCCTCTGGAGGAACAAGAGTGAATCAAGATGAACAAGCCAGTGGTGCAAGCACTGTGCCTGTATCACCTGGCTCCATTGGTTCCTGGACTGGAGATGGTGGGTGCGATGGCGAGCACAGCCCTTATTCCTGATGTGCGTTCAGTGGCACCAACCTCATTGACATCTATATCACGTGAGGATTGGAGGCGCTTACAACAGGATTCGACTGTTGGGGAAAGTGTTGGACTACTTTGAGAGAGGCAGTTTATCTGACAAGGCAGAACATAAAACACTGCCAGCAGAGGTGAAGGTTGCCTTAACGGAATGGAAAAAGTTTCATTTGTGCCGTGGAGTCCTGTACTGTCAGTGCATGGACAACAATGCTGAAAGGGTGTTGCAGCTGTTCTTCCCCAAGAAATTCAGAGTAACAGCCATGGAGGCCTTGCATGATGATGTCGGCATCTTGGACAGGATAGAAGCTTGGATTTGATGAGATCACGCTTCTATTGGCCTGGCATGACTGAGATGGTACTTGAGTGGATTAAAACATGTGAACGCTGTACACGCAGAAAGATAACAGCTGAAGGTAGAGCTCCAGTTCCATTGGTGAGAATCAAGACGACAAGACCTCTGGAATTGGTCTGCATGAACTGCTTGTCAATTGAACCATCAAAGGGAGGATGTTGGGATGTGCTTGTGATAACAGACCATTTCACAAAGTACGCCATAGCTGTCCCTACTCGTAACCAGACTGCTAAAGTAACTGCAGATGCATTGATGGAGCAGTTTGTGCGGCACATTGGTTTCCCTGAGCGCCTGCATTCTGATCAGGGTTGAAACTTCGAGAGTGCTGTGATCAGGCTCCTGTGTGATGCCATGGGAGTTGTGAAATCTCGGAGCACCCCATACCATGCCCAGGGCTTTGGGATCACAGAGCAATTTAATCAGACGTTACTTGGTATGTTGGGAATGCTGTCCAACACTGACAAGCAGAACTGGAAACAGCATGTTAGTACAGTGACTCGTGCGTATAATTGCATAAAGCATGATGTGACTGGTTACACCCAGTATTTCCTCATGCATGGGCACCACCCTCGTTTGCCTGTGGACATATACTTGGGCTTGGTCACTGAGGATGAACAGGCAGAGGACATGGATGAGTATGTGAGAAATTGGCAGCACAGTCTTGATGAAGCTTATCAAATTGTATCACTTCGTATGGACAAAAAGTGCCTCATCAGCAAGTCATACTATGATAGGAAGGCCAGGCAGTCTGAACTCTCGCCTGGAGACCGTGTATTAGTGCGCAATGTCAAGGTGCGTGGCAAGCACAAGCTCGCTGATCAATGGGAGAGGGATCCATTTGTCATTGTCAGGCAAGATGATCGTGGTATACCTGTTTATGTAGTTAAGCCTGAGAGGGGTGGCAAGGTACGGAACCTGCATCGTAACTTGTTACCGTTCCATGCACTGTCAAGGCCCAAAAAAGCACGTCCAATGAGAAGGGAACTTGTCGAGCCAGTCAAAAGAGCAAGGAAGCCAAGGACTAGAGCGTTGCACCGGACTACACAGGCATCATCTGAAGCTGACTGTGACACTGAAGACACGGATGCAGACTCTGACCGTGGGTACATTATTACTTACCCGCATGAGCAGTGTGCTTAGGAGATTCTACCTCATGATGTTGCTGATGATGCAACCCCTGAACTAATGTCGGTGGAGAGTGATGGTCCTGAGTTAAGAACCAGTGAGGAGGGCCCAGAACTGCTGTTGCATGTAGACTCTGATATCACTGTATCCCCAGAGGTGGAAATGGATCGTGAGTTAGAGGTGAATGCAGAAGTGGTGCCAGGCGACACAGAAGATGTCATAGAAATGGCAGAAGAGCATGGTGATGGAACGATTGTCGCGTCTGAGACTGATTATGTTGTCAAAGCAACTAGGTCAGACTCTGATGGTCGCCGCTACCCTTTGAGAGACAGAAAGCCTTGTTTGCGATATGGATTTGACTGTTCGCACACTCTAGTTAGGTCCGACATCAATCCTAGTGTGCCAGCTTTTGTGCCTGTTGGATGAAACAATGCGATAATTGGAGCAGGAGGTAACTGTTCACAAATCTGCTATTAGACGTTTGTGTAACCTTTCTTCGTCGGTTGCCTGTACACCCATTATAATCTGTGTTGTGGTGTGTGGAATGGTACTCCTCTTCTGAGGGTGGGAGTTGAGCACCCTTGTGAAAGTACTGTTTAAAGTGAGCTTCGTCACTGCCCTGGTTGGGTCGCTACCACCCAGGGTTCCTTTTTCTTGTACGCTGTTCTATATTTGTACCTCATTTGGTTACATGTCTGCTGTGCATAGAGGATTGAGCTGTTCCTTCCAGTGGTATAGCGCAGAACATGGGTATTGTAGACTTTTGGGGTGTTGTTTGCCTGACTTTGTGTGAGTGTGCGTGCTGTATACACTTTTATTTGTGTAGTATCTTCTTCTTCCGTAGTTCTCTACTACATAATAGGGAGAGGGCGTTTTTTTGTCTATTTACCTTTGTAAATTATCCTGGGTCCTGCCCCATGTGTTGCATGTTTTATTATCTCTGCTTTAGGAATCTACAACTGCAGTATGGGATGGAAGACTTTGTTTGATCAGCATGTGCCACACTAGCAAGAAGTGTCTGTAGAGGAACAACTGGAGTTGAGCACAGACCTTGAGCCAGGAGTGCATAAACAATCATATGAGAAGACTCATTGGAAGATTATTGGTAGACGTGATAGTTGATTGATTACCGGTCACTTGGAAGACAGGACAGTGGTCTTAACTGTTGTCTTGCATTCCAGGGACGTGAATGCATTTGGGGCCGGGGTGTGTCACACGTAGTATCAGTGTTGACTAGGTAACTGAGTGTACTATTATGCAGTATTTAAGTGATGTACGAAATGCTGTTTTATTACCAGTTTTTTAGCCGAGTGTGGATCACTTTTTGGGTTAGTATTTATGTGGAAACTGGTTGCCATGGTGTTTGCCCGATGCCATGGTATGTGGCTTATTTCAGACATAAAATTCACCATGTACAGGAGCGAGACACGGGTTGGGGATGTCTTTGCCTAAATTTGGAGTTTTTTATGCTAATTGAGAGTGACCGACCTTTAACCTGGAGAGGCGAGTTGTCGGATTGGTTGAAGGAACGCGCTAAAAACGGGACAGGAAAATGGCCGGAAATGGCTCAAGTTGAATGAAAAATATGTCAACAACATGGTTGCTGGTTTCCACTGATTTAGTTTGATGTGTATAAGCTTTCACAATTATTGATTTTTGTTAAACTTGTGATATGTTGTTTTTCTGTTTCGTTGAGTGTTATTGCGATTAGTAAGTATTGTGACATCATTAAGACTATTGCCATATAAGGAGTTGCACTCACTTGGTAGCTGATCGAGACTGTACTGGTGCAGAGCATGGTACTGGCTGTTAGTTTGTACAGTGACATTTGTAAAGAGACATTTGATTACTTGTTTTCACTGAACTGTAGAAATACTTTTTATGCATTGAGTGCTGTTTCAGCCACAACTGTGTAGTAGTAGCTGTGATTTATGATTAATGTTGCTGCTGATGTATTGCAGTTTACTGATCTTGTATCGCATGACTGCTAGTTGTTTGATAATATACCATTTGTTGTTTGGAATTATTAAGGTCTCATTATTTGTGCTAGCGTGTTTGTGGGTACAGTTAGAGCTGGTTCGACACAATACTTACCCATTGCCCTTGATTTGAATTGAGGGGACCGTTCTCTGGGGACTGTGTGTGCTGGCCCCCTTTTATACAGTGAGGAAAAATTTATGCTCTCCGTCCACTTCGGATCCGAAATATTGGTCCGATAGCCTATTTGTGTTTGGTTGCCTGGCGACAAGTGGATGAGGCCGGGACATATGCCTTATGAACAGAATTTTCATTTTTTTTTTATCATAGTTCCTTGTAATCAGTATTTCGGGATATCGTCGTTAGTGTTAATTCACACTAAAGAAAGTAGTCAGGCTTGTAATAGAGCTGGCGTACTCACCGTCAGTTATGTATCATTATGCGACCTACATTGTATGAGGAGTGTGGGAGGGGCGTCGGGTCACGTGACTACTTCAAAGAAAAATTGCATACAATATGATTGTGAATATTTATTGTCATTCTTGATTGCGCGTGTGGAATAATGTGCAACCTCGTGACAATATACAAGTTTTTGATTTTACTTTTGTTTAGTAATTCATTTTAGTACCTCAGAATAAGAAATATGCAGTCGAGTTAACTTTACACGAATACGACATCCAAGTACAACCATGTTTTATGAAATAGTCTATGCATCTGAATCATTCATAGAAATTCATTTATTAAATTTAGCCATCTTACAAAATGTTGGTTTAAGGGCTAGTGCAAACTGAGATGGTTCAAAGCTTTAATTATATATTTTCAGGTGAATGGAAGGTACCAAATGAGTCACCGACGGTAATGTCGTGCCCAGGTCAAAACTCGTATTTGTGATTTTCATTAGAAGAGTGCATTGGATTGTCTGAAAAACAATATTTATCAATACAAATGTCGCACATGCGCAGCACGACGACCACCGTCCTTTAAAATCCGATAGTGATTGGGGGATCAGCTGCACAATTTAGAATTTAATTACTTGAGCGGCACATGTTATCCCAAAAGTTGTCATTCCGTGCCGAATAAATGAAATGATTTTTTTTCTAATTTATATTTCTTTTTGATCGTCACATGTCATGTATGTTATAAGTTTTCTCTCAAACATTTTGGAAATGGAAACAATATTTTGAAGGTCTTGTTTGCTCCTCGTGAAGTGATTGTATACAGTTTAATATATATGACACCAGATTTTTCACCAATAACAAATCGTTTATTGTACTAAAGCTTGTAACAACATATGATATTGGACATCACAGACATAGATAATTTATTCACGAATCACATAATTCATAATACAAAATAGGAGTTTATACATGAGGTTATTGATTAACCCTTTGAGCGCTTATTTTTTATTTAAATTTTGGTAAATTGCTTTCTATACATTTTTTTAATTTAACCGAATTAATCTTACTTTTGGACAAGTAGACAAAATGTGACATTACTTCTAGTATTTTATCAAAATATATGAAGGTTTTCGCAAAATTTTACGTGAAAAACATAAATGGAATTAATTTGCGGATGGTTCTTGACTTTGGCGCCCAAATATCACAAATATCACCAAGATTGACAAATAGTTTCCAAATATATTTGAATTACTTTATTTACTTAGGTGCAAAACTAATAATCTTTCTATATAACATTCTCACAAATACTTGTTTCATTCAAGGCAGTACGATACTGGATGTGCAGTACTGGACATGATGATAATATTTTCAATTTTCAAATAAGAACTCAAAGCACATATAAAATTAATGATAAACAAAAACAAATGTTGCTTGCTATTCATAGAGGATAAGCTAATAAATTGTAATGTGAAAACAATCGAAAAAATGGAAATTTTATGAAATGAAAAATTTGGAATATTATATAAAACATTTATGCACCACTTGGTATATTTACTTACAAGTTCTGGATAATTAATGAGCGTCATTTTACGCATTATTACATAAAACAACGATATAAGGCTAAATAATTTAAAATATTTGTGAACACATATTTAGTATTTCTAGGTGCGCTTCCCATTTTATTAAAAAAAAACAGCTGTTGCAATGTTCTGGGTCTATGCATAGTCTTCGCAATCTGATGAGTATTCTGTAAGTAAGTGAAAAAATAATTATTCAAACATGTGTCTATGACGTCATCGGGCACATCGACATTCGCTCGTTCTCTTACTGGTCAGATTGATTGTTTTTGTATACTGTTTATCAATCGTGTTGTGCTATTTAACTTTCGTAGCTCAATAATAGCATAAATAATCGGAGTGATCCCGCATCATTGTAATTACACGTCTAATCAATATCTCATTTATATGTTTGCTGCTGTTAAATTATGTGTAAAAGAAAATGTTTGTTAATCTGCACGTGGCAAATTACCGTAATGCACTCATACTGAACTTAGCCTGGGCTGATTGGAAATACATAAAAGCAGTTTTCAAGTACCAACTATTTATTCCATTGTTATTTATTTAACGATTTGTACTATTTTACATAAGTATATAATTGCAATGTGCCAGGCCTATAATCGTCTTCTGTAAATAAAATAAAGTTATATAACAAAGCAATTATTACCTTTTCTGTTCTAGATCTTGTCTCATAATGATTTACATGCAGTGACAAACCGCATCTAATTTGACAATTTGACATGTTAGTGCACTGAAGTGTACTTATCATTACTTATCTATAGTTGACTATGCTCCCACTCACAAAGGTGTAATTTAACCGCAACAATCTTACACTATTTAGTAAAAACAAGTGTATCAATATTGGCGTATTTTGTCAGACAACCTATAAAACAAGTTATTAGAGAAATAAAATAAAAACAGTTTCACTTACTTCACTGTTATCTTTTGGCGTTAGCAAATTGGCGATCTCTCTATGATTTTTTTGCTTTGCTATTTGAAAAGCTGTTCTCCCTCTCTGTTTCAGAATGGATATAAAATACTGTCATAATCATAATATAGGTTATTAATGTTTAATATTTGTGTCAAAGTTGTTTAAATCGGCAGCATATGCACTCTGCGAAATTCGCAATATACTGGAAAACATTGCACAAAAAAGCTTAAACACTTGAGTAATGTTAAAGAATTTAAGTCTGAGATTACTCTTTTATAATTAAATTATACATAGATAAAATAAAAAAAACACAAACCTTTGTTTTCGCTTTAGTATTACAATCTCTTCTAATCAAATTTTTCACAATTTCATCATTATTGCCATAAAAACTAGCGTAATGTAATGGAGTAAACCCATACTGTAAAGATATATTAATACCTTAGTATGTGATTGCATTTTTGGGGTTTAAGTGTCTAAGTGTTTAAGTAATGTATATATGTTCTTTTCCTTGTAACCTCATTTGTCTTAGCTAGTCACATAGATATCATATAAGTAACTTCCGTAGCAACAACACACCTAGAAATCGGTAGCACTTCATTGCAATATACTATAGTTTCACAATAGTTGTATAAAATGAAATGACATGCACAGTTAATTAACACAATTTTACACTCAAAACATGCTGTTAGTGGCAACTGAATGGTACCCATAGGAGTAAAACGGATCAAATAAACAAAGTTCTTGCGTACTACAAATTGGGTAAGCAATACCTGCCTAATAGCAAATGTCACGTGGTGCTGTAATTACACCACAACGTAGTTATCACTGACACCCGCACCCATAGATTTAGAGTAAGATTATATCGCAACAATATGCCATGATATAAATGATTACCTTATCTTTACTTTCAATTTCCATGCCCTTTTCCAGTAATAAATCCACGACATTGTTATGGATACCAGCACAAGCCAAATGTAAACCAGACGAGCCAATCTATATATCATAAGATGTACAAAAACGAACAGCGATCTTACTCTAGAATCGACTAAAACACGGTAGGAATCACCAAGACCAATTAGAAATATAATAATATTCTATATTATCAATAAGAACGTGAACACATTTCATTCAAAGAGTTAAAATAATTCGCAATTTGCCAACTTCTTACATTTGCCCATTTTTAGCATCAAATTGCTTTACATCAAGATTTCGTAAGACTTTGTATTAGCAATTTCGTCATAAATTTATTTATTTTGAGTATACATGATGCTCACTGTTGACTTGGCCTGTAAATCTGATCCTAGTTCCAGACATTTCTTCACTGCACCAATCCCACCATACTTACATGCATAATGTATCGGTGTACTGCCGAGCTGAGATAATAGGAACATCAAATTAGTTCAGATATTGTTTATATAGGAGTATGCTTTATTTCAACAAACGACATTGTTGTGAGATCATCTAAAATTTCGTATAAATATCCATGCCTGTGATGTGCTCCCTCAGACAATTTTCGAAATATACATGAACATAACATATCTGCCTATATTTTCTAGACACGAATCCTATACGAATAACATGTTCACAACATATTCAATAATAACGCATTTTGCCGGAAATGTATAAAATATAATTTTACTTGTAATTACCTGATTTGAAAGTTATATGCGGCTACAGCAAATTAATGAATGAATTAATGATTGATTGATTGATTGATTGATTGATTGATTTAATGAATGAACGAATTCACAGCTTATCTTAACTGTAGGAGTATGTTTTGTGGAAGATACTGTTCCATAAATATTGAGTTTCTACTACCTTGTCTTTAACTTCCAAATCCGCCGACATATCAAATAGTTTCTGTAAAATGTCAAGTTCACCTATTTGTGCTGCACAATGCAATGCGGTTTTCTCATTCTGAAATATACAACACAACAGTGTAAGCACATATATTAATTGCAGGATACTCCCCCACAAAACGGAAATCATGAAATTATAATAGTTTATTACATATGCATAACCAATATGAAGTACCTGGCCTTTCATATCAATGTCTATTCCATAATTTATTAACAGCTCAGTCACTTCATTACGCCTTTGTAATATTGAAATATGCAATGCTGTATTACCATCCTACGGGGAAATAGTATACAATGTGAATGGCATTGCCATTTTGATGTTCAGTTAATCGAAAACATAAAAATAATATTCATAGCTTTTGCATATATTCAAATAAAGTTATTCAAAGAATTTTACATTGATAACTATGCTTTCATCTTCATGTACCTTATCCTTGGTCGTGACGTCACAATTCATTCTTAGTAATTCTTTTACTTCTTCAATATCTCCCTTGCTAGCAGCTTCCATCAATGTCTTTGACCTCATTGTCTTTGTATGCAAAATAGGATATTGAGATTTAATATAAAGTTACTTACATGTTACTAAATTAGGCTTAGCCTAAATACATATTCGTTTTTTAGTTCAGGAATTGAAGTCCCCCTTTTCTCATGAATTGAATACTTCCAATTAACGTTATATGTAGTATTTGCATAAAATCAAGATTAATAAAACAAATTTACGGCAAATAATCACTTCTGCTTACTACTATTTTATGTCCAAATACCTTATCTCTGTCAGCGACGTCGCGATAATTTGCTGGTAATTGTGTAACTTCTTCAATTTCATTATTTCTAAGATCCTTTATCTGTGTAGTAGTATATTTTATAGTACGAAGTGAGGATGGTCATATTCAAGGCATAATCAGAGTACGTTAAATGTCATATACATTAAGCCAAGTGAAATACAAAGCCGTCAATGTTCTAGCATTAAGAATTGTAAGTATGACAAATTAATGAGTAACCGTCTGCTCACCTGAACAATGTCGAACATTTCTTTTATTTCTAAAAATATGAAAATCAAAAAAAATAATTTCCAATTGGAATTCTCGCTTTGTGGTCTCAAATGCAAAACAATGACATAACGCAAATGGCCGGAAATTAGGTAACCTTCTGAAACAGGAGAAATCTCAGGATCGGGATCCCGAAATATGATCCATAAAGTAAATGTGGAAAAGTACTAAACCGATGTGGAACTGGAAATGAAAACGTTGTAGGCTAGTCAGAATATGTCAACAAATTTATGGCGCATGTTTACATAGACATTATGGGACAGAGAATTGAAACAAAACACTACTGACAGATTATATGAAAACAGTACACTGAGATTCACCGATCGTAGTACTAACATTACACTAGCCATAATTCTAATTTGATACATTATGAAACTTTGAAATTTGAATCTAGTTTACTTAGTATGTTGTACCAATCTGAAAAATAACACCATCAACATATCATACCATGAATATGTGTAATTAGCAGTGGTTATAAGAGGTGATCAAAGGAATGTTAACATACTCATATAGTATAGTTCATCATATTTTTGTTGTATTTTGTACCTTCAAACTTAGGTCTTATATAAGGGTCCATATCCCAACATTTATGCATCATCTCATTTAAGACTGCGGGACATTCAGTTGGAATGTCCTCCTCACTTGGTCGCTGGTTTTGACAAACTGCCCATTCGATTACTTCTGTTGCGACTGCATCTACAATTTAGATCAATACGAATTGCGTAATTACTCTTTGAAAAAGCCTGTATTATATTTAAATCATTAAAGTTGTTTGAATATTTACTTGCAATCACATATTATTATTCAAACTTGCTTATGTGGTTCAACCATCGACACAATATGTAGACAATATGCATTATCGTAGTAGAGGTGAATAAAAACTATTAAAGTTATTCCTTAAATAACGAGCCATACTCACTTTCATAAGGGTCTTTCTGTGTAACAATCTCCCATAATGTGATACCAAAGCTAAATGAAAGCATAATCAAATTATATATAATTGCTCAATCTCTGTCGTAGCTGATTGGGTATTTTTCAAAATACATACTTATCACATACTAGTCTAGTTGACATATACAAAGAAGAAGTCGATACATCAACAAAATTTGTCAACAAAGCTACTACTTATTGGTCCGACTATTAGGGGTTATGATTGGGTAGCCAAACACGAATGATCTTGTGAGTAGCTTCATCGCGATTACATTATATATTTGCGTCGTATGGCGTCACATATTTGCATTGCACTTTTTAGTGGCAATCTATATATACTAAAGAAAATATTTTATTATCTCAACGTAACCTTTAAGATGGATTATAAATCACAGAATAAACCAACAGCATCTTGTCATTCCTAGTTACCATGTAAAATACGCTATTTAATGAGTACATATAATACACAACTTGTCTATTTAATTAACTTAATTATTAAATATGAGGGAATAAGTTTCATGTCCCCTTATTTAAACAACGGTTAACCTGTTAGTTTAATTATCTACTTGTTGATGAAGTTGTTATTTATGAAAATATATAATTGTTTGTAAGTAAAAAGAGGCGCAGCAGTCACAACCCGTTATATTAATCCTATATATATATATGCCACATTACGTTTTGTGATTCCTGTTTATAGTTGAACGCTCCAGGAAAAAGTGTATATGTGTAAGATGTAATATCAATACGCTAGATAGAACATTCTAGTTACAAGGATAACACATGTATTTTGATTTAGCAGTATATTAAACAAAATACGTCGCTTGACCATGGTCAACCTGGTTGGATGGTGCGGAATGTATACCGACCATGGTCATATGATTATGATTATGACCGTGATCAATCTGGCTTTTACGTTGGTTACATATTAACATATTGTGACACATACTTATTCCGACCACGGTCACGTAACTTAATCACACCCAATTCATTAGAGCCATGGCTAAACCATGATGTGCATGAATTTAGAACGGAATCTCGTTCCACAATTACGTCTCATTTGAAATAATGAAGTGTTTAATGACGGATTATACAAAATAATCTTATACACACAAGCACAATTTGTAAAGAGGGAGTGAAAACATTTACAAACATGCATACCTATATACATCGTATTTTTCATTTGGCTCCCTTCTTTTATTTTGAAGAAATTCCGGGGCCATGTGGGAGATTGTATTACATACTACATCTTCTTCTTTTTCTTCTTCTTTTTTTTCTTCATAGTGGTCTGCTACTGTCATTGAATAGACACGCCTAACGGATGATCCAAAGTCTGAAATCTATGAAGAAGAATATGCAATCTAAGATCAACCTGGAGATACTTAATTTAACGTACGTACAACGTGAAAAGACATTCTCGACAATGACACAGTAACAAATAATGAAAATAATTTCCATTTAATTTACCTTTGCTTTGGGCCCAATGTCAACAAGTATGTTATCAATTTTCAAATCCTGATGAACAAGCTTTAAAGTTTTGTGTAGATAATTCATTCCCAGTATCACATCGTGCACAAGACGTAATATTATTGGCCAGCTAACGTCATTATTCTTTTGGTAGTCCCTCAATGAGCCGTGACACATGTATTCTAATACAAGTGCATGGTTAGACGGATCCATCACGGCGCCTATTAGTTTGACTAAATATGGCGAACGGAAGCTAACCATTTTACGTACTTCATCTTCGAGCATATTCCTGTAACTGGATATGGCATTTAGTTAAAACATAACATTTATTGTGCTAAAAAATACACTACCCTTTAGTAAATAACCTTGAAACATTATAGCATAATTAAAACTTCCCAAGAAGATTTAGAAAGCCCTGGGACAGTTTGAGAAATTCCCGAATAGAGTACTGGAACCAGTGTACACTTACACATCAGATACATACATAAACATTACGCTATTCAGTATATTCACCTGATAGGAATTTTAAGATTTTTGAAAACTTTTCTAACAGCTACAGCACCCTGGTCTTTGAGAATAGCTTTATATACGATTCCAAATCCACCATGACCAATTTTTTTTTCATTTTTAATGTCACTGTAGTCTATAATATGACCGATGTCAGAGAAGCCTTCAGCCATTTTTTTTTTCAATTACCCTGCAGCAAGTAAAACAAAAGGTTAACAATACTATTAAATAATGTTTGTTTGTATATCATTATTTATATTCCCTTCGCCAAATGTCTCTACTTCGACACAGTTTTGTCCAATAGAAAGAAGGATAAGGTGATTGTTTGTACTGCCTCATTTATGCTAGGCAATGTATTTGTATACAACAGTAAAAAACAACAAAACTACACGTTGTTTGTGTCGCCCAAGATTCAGCTTGTGTATTTGCACCTAGTCACTGCAGAGAGGAGATGGGTGTGTGGTGTCGTGTTCACTGTAGAGCATAGGTAACAATTAAATTGGAATGAAATATTTGTTATCACCAGCGAACAATATCTTGATTTATTTAATACACTCTATCGGCATTTAATAGTTTCACGCAGGAGACCCACTCCTTCCTATTATGACGGCAAATATTTTCATCTCCTATACAAAAATAGGCTACAGAAAACAACGTAATTTTGAAACACGTTGAAATTGCTACATGCCATTTAGCGAATATGAAACAATGCTTGAATTAACAGAATCAAAATTTATTGAAAGTGTCACCAATCTCATTAATCTTTACTTTTTAAATTAGACAATTAGAAATTAGGTAAAATAACAAGCTAGCTATAAATACATATTGACAGTATACTCTGTCCCGCTTCATTTTATACAGAGAAATCGAAAGAAAAATGAAGATTTCAACTCGACCTACAGCTTGAGTACAGTCTCGTTGCTACGATGTAGATTGGTATGTGCCTGAAATCGTACAATGGCTACACAGTAATGTGTTTACTTTGTATACTAGCTTTTATACTAGAACTAAATGTACTTATCATTTTAATCAATGTTGTACTCTATTGCAGTTAAAAAAGGGCAAATGTCAAGTCGCTTTAAATACCAGTGTAGGTTATAAAAATGATATCATGATTGATTGTGATATGACGTACATCGCGTTTATCCGACTAAATCTAACATAATATATAAGAACAAACCTTTAGTCCTGACGTCTACTACGTCCCATTTATTACCAAACGCTTCAGCGTGGTATTAAGAGTTTGCTTTCATGGGCGGGTGATACCCGGAATTAGCGGGACCAGCGCAATATAAACGTGACCTTGATAATGGGATTGTTTTCCCCCCAGTGTTCAAATAATAGAAGCTGATATTTTTGGGCTTTAATTGAAACACAAGACGAAAGTATTAGATGGATTACAAAAGAGGCTATAGTTAATATGGGCAAATGATTTGCTTGAGCCATTGGTAAATGTACGAAATTGATTTTGCTGTGATAATGTATACATGTATGTACAATTATGTGAATATAGTGATGTGTGTTATAGGAAGTAGGTGATGTCTTAAGTCTTTTGGTTATGTCATTTGAATCAAGAGGGAGAGGTTGAAGTACTTGATCGGAAAGAATGATTATATTTGTTCTTTGGCAGTGAATGGCTTATTTGTACTTGACTGTCGACCCACCCACCACTCGATTGTAATTTGGCCAGTTGCTATTAGACATCACTAGCATGACTAGTTGGAAGACAACCATCTAAGAGTAGTGTGAATAAAATAATCATCTGTAATGAACAAGGAAATAATAAAGTTTTTATTTTTTATCTTAACCAACAATAAACAAGTCATTGAAAATGACAGTCCCTGTTAAATTTTTGAAAATTCTTTTTGTGCTCGTCATATTAAAGTGGAGGGGGAGTCGCGAGTGTGTCCTTGAAACTTGAGTCCAAAGAGGCGTATACAACAGATTGTTTATTTACATCAAATTCGAACATGCGTTGCGTGACGACCCCTTCGGTTTAAGACATAGCAAAGAAAAACATAGATCACAAGTGAAAGCATGTCCAAGTTATCACATTTTAAACAAACAAGATCAAATTTGATAAAATTGCAAATTGAATTGACATGTACATGTATCCATTTATGACATTCTAAATATCAATAAAAATGATACATGGGTGACAGAGATATAATAATATGGCCAAAAATAAAATAAAAACAACCGTTGTTCGGCCATCTTTGATCTGATTGTGAAAAAAGTGACATGTATGATTTATGTGCCAAATACGAATGAAAATGATACATAAATATTGGAAATATAGTAGTAAGGCCAAAAAAGTCAGATGGCTGTCAATCCGCCATCTTTGATCCAATTTTGAAACAAATTGTCATGGATATGTATCCTAACATGTATAAAGTATATGCAAAATTTTAATGAAAACTGATAAAGCATGTCCAAGATACCACATTTAAAAATACATGCCTGATAGTCGGCCATCTTTGATCCAATTGCAAAAGAAATTGTCATGGACATGTATCCTAACATTTATAATCCATGTACCAAATTTGAATGAAAACTGACAAAGCATGTCCAAACTAGAACTTTTTCAAAAAACATTTTGTATCGAATCGCTAAACCATTGTATGTGCATATGTCCCACTTAAAGTACTAGGCACATGCAAAGAATGAACAGAATCGGTCCAAAGGATTCTGAAATATGACTCCGGAAGGACGCACGTACCCACGGACGGACGGAGACCAAATTATAAGTCCCCGTTTTCGGACTTCGTCCGAACGGGGACTAACAACAAGTTTACAAAAACATTCGAGTAAGAATAAAGTAAAAATAATTGTCAGGTTTAACCAATGCAGGAGATGCAGGTGATGGTTGAATTATCTCGCCTGGAAGAAAATAAATGAATGATTTGAGTAAGGTGATAAGTAGAGGAATGTTCAATAGGAAGAACATTGTTGAAATAGATTGGAAATGATTGGATTTTCGATAATTAAATCATGAGGCGCATTGTAAATAACTGGCGAGAGGATGCTGAAAGCACTACCGTGCATTCAAGCATCCTCTCATTGAAAATAAACACAGGTTATGCACATTTACATTATAATGAGGTAAATTAGTGTTATGATTAAATCTGGTATGATGTGCATGAAACGAAAGCGTTGATGGAAGACCCAAATGATAGTTATCACCATGACAATCAATTTGGTAGTAGGCATATTGCCAAAATATTATATCTTGTTGTTTTCAAAAAGTATATGTGCAGCAACAATAAACTGTGAAAAACCAGTAGTTAGCTCAGTGTTCTCCACGAGGGGTTTAAGAGGGGCGCTGCGCTCATCTTTAATTTATTTTCGCCCCTAGTAATTTGTAGCGCTACTCTATTTATCTTCAGCGCCCTCCTTAGTTTTCGGTGAACAGATGTTTCACGAGTCCCGGAAGATGTCCCGACGACGTTATTGAGAGACCTCTTATTAACTGACAGGCGATAAAACAAAAAAAAACTAAGAGACAAATAGTGGCATAGGTGACAACTAGGACAATGGATTGGATGTCTGGGGAAAACAACTGGCTGAATAAATAAACAAAAAAACAATGGCTAATCACGCAATGGGAGAGTCAAAATAAGTTTCCTCATCATTCCTGAATTAGCTTAGATACTTAAGGTAGAGATGCAGGTTCGTGGGCACTTGGGAGTGAATTTTTTTTTTGCTTTTTATTATCCAAACAGTCTTAGTTATATACTGTTAAAATTGTGTAGAATTGTGAATAGTGGAACATACTTAAAACACGATTTTAAAATATAGATAACAGGTGCAAACATTCTCTCTTTTGAATGCTTAACAAGATTTAGCAAGGCTGTACATAAATAAATAATACATAAATAATGAAAAAAAGAAATGACGGGATCTCCATATTATGCACTATATTTAACTTTTAACAAAACGATAATACATTTAAATTTGGAACTGTTACAACAATTTTTATTATGAGCATTAGCAAACTTCTTACTCAGTGAATTGTTATGCAAATTAGCAATTACCTTAGCTTCTTGTTAGTGGACATCCCAGAACTTTAAAAAAATAGCTCCCAGACGCTTTGACCTTTTGTTTTAAAATTTTCACAAATGATTGACAAAACGCCGTCGGGGCATTGTTATTGGTTGAATAGTGTTACAACAATCGTACAGACAACTAGCCTGGGTGTTAATTTATGCATAAACGTGAAGTAGTGAAATTTGAGCTGCTGCCCTGCAAAATTGACAACTGGTAGACAGTTTTCAAGACGACACTTTCTTTATAGTAAACAGATGTACCCATTAACCAATTTTGACAGGAAACAGAAGCGTGCTTTAGGAGCTAATGTTTTACATCACTTTTCACACAAAAAAAACACATTTTTGTGCATATTTCAAACTACAGTGTCCATAAAAAAATACTAACAACATTTTAAAATTCATACAATAAGCTTCCCGAAAACATATAGTTTTGTGGACAAGAAAGGTCATCTTGGTTTCCTAATTAACTAATTAAAATACCTGTCAGGTAAACTGCATCTCTACCTCAAGAACAGAAGGACCAACAACAATTTATTGGTTCAATTACTTGTTACTTGTCTATTATTGGTGAAAAGTAAAAAGAATCATCAAAAGAATCACCGAAGCAAAACGTACGGTAAACACTGAAACAACGTGGATGACACTGTATCTGATTTGACTTTTGTCCTCAGTACCCATAATGCAATCAATATAATGATCAATTTATTTACAGTTATCGGATTCGATTCGATTATTTCTTTTAAATTGTTTTTGTTATGTGAAAATATTTTTCTTCTTATTACTTGAGTTTTTCAACTATTACAATATGTCAGTGCATTTATAAAACTTATGAAAATGAAAATACTTGAAAGAAATTTAAAAGAAATGAATGAAAGGCTAGAATCTCACAACTTGTTCCATTACAGAGAATAAAATGTGTATTCTTCATCTGTCAAAGTTGATATTTTTTACATCAAGTGGTTTAATTTATTCATCAAAAAGAACATTAATATAGTTGTACTTGTACACAGTAATCGAGGTTGATGTAAATATAATTTTTACAGAACACTGTAAATATTTACAACATTGTACAAGACAGTACTATAAGGGTATCGTACAAATATACCCCCTTACTTTTAGGCTAT